TAAGCAGGATGTCTGTGATGGACCTTGTGCTAGGCAGTCCTCTTCCACCCCAGAAAGCATCATGGGTGGGCTCTTAGCTCTAGAAATGAAATTAAAAATACCTTTGATCCTACGATTCTGGAATTATATCCAATATTGCTATATGACCATACTTCATTTGCTGAGGATTGAGGGTTCTGACTGAGTTTCCACATAACTGAAGCATTACCCTTTAAATGCCTAAATTTCTTCCAAACTTTACTGTTTTCTAATAGTTGATAAGACTTTTGTTCTATGGTGTTTTGTGCACTTTTTTGCCTTACTAAATAGAAAATAGTCACCCCACCTTATGATTGATGTTGGACCAATTTTTCATTTAGAAATATATTATCTAATTTGGAATCTATAATATGATGTCCAACTTTTTACAAAATTCATGTACACATTTTAATATGCCTAAGCAAAGTGTACCAGGACACATAAGAAGCTGTGAATGGTGTTTCAGTTTGGGGATGGAGACTGGGAGAGGAGGAGAAAGACAGCTTTCATTTTTCAGTTTATAACTATCTGTACTTAATATTTTTTCCTTTACCTTGAACATATATTATTTGCTTATATAAATAAAATGCATTTGGAATTATATATTATAATGTGTATCTAATTTTATATGTTATATATATGAATATTGAAGTTAGGGATTGGGTTCCTAGGCTAACTCCCAAAACACTGTTCAACTTAGGATATGGCAGCACAATGATAAGAGTGGACACGAGCCATCACCCCCTTGTGCTAACTGTTTCCATGGAAAACCTGAGTCCCAGGAATATTTCCTTCTTGCTACTTTCTCCCTACGTGTCCCACTGACTCATAACTACTGCTCTAGAAATAGGGGGAGGGACCTTCCTTCTGTCTTCATGGGCCATGGCAGTAGGAGGCTCATTTTCCTCCTAGGACAGTCAAAAGAGGGACTCAAGCTTGCCCTGTGAGGGAGAAAGGAACATTCATGAGCATCCACTGAGTGCCAGGCACTGTGCTTGTTCTGTCTCATACTTTACCTGCATTGCTTCTCCCAACAATCCAACAAGATAAGTATTACTGCTGGGAAACTGAGATTGCTGCTTAATACCCGACAAAGCTGCGATTACATCCTATTGTCTTATGCACTGTCCTTTGCAATTCAGTGACCCTCCAGCAGAACCACTTCTTTATGAGAGGCCCATTAATGTCAAGTATGGCTGGGCACTTTGGATATTCCCTGAGGTTCAATAAGGTCCTCTGTCAGGGACTCCCTTATTAAAAGGTGAACGACTTGAGGGCAGGACCCTGTTTTAATAACCTTTGTATCTGCGGTGCCTTCCACAGTCCTAGAATCATGGTAAATTATCCACAGATATTTGTTTTGATTAACAGGAAACATTATTGTTTGTTTTGCTTTCTCTGGTAGAAAATTGGAATCATATATTTTAGAAAAAATTTCAAGAGCAAATACTAAAACAAGAAAAATATTTTCTCATTAACCTTTGGTTATTAGAAAATTCAAGTAACTAAAGTGCTGTAAGGAATGCTCTTAGCTTACGTATGAGTCATCCGTCTATAGGAGGAACAAAGGGGAGTCCACTGTCAGAACAGGCGGCAGGCTTGGGAACCCAGTTGCCTGGTGGAACATTCTGTAAGGTGCTTCCTGTGGGGAACACCTGCTGCCAGCTCCATGTAGCCAACCTTCAAGCCAACTCTATAGTCAGGGACAGTATAACATTGCCCTTAATTTGAAGCATACTCTGTAGTTAATGACTCTTTTCAGTGACTCAGATTTGTTAAAGGAAAGAAAAAAGCATCTCTCAGCTGTAAAAAGAATATGCCATTCAATAATAATTAATATTTACTTGATCTTCACAAGGTGATGGTCTATCTTCTGAGACCTCTATGTGGATTCGTTTTATTGCACTCTGACCACAACTGTATGAGTTAGGTACAATTATTATCTCCATTTTTACAAAAAACTGAGGCTGGCAAAAATTAAATTACCAGCGAATAGTGGAGCTGGTGTTAGAATCAAGGCCTGGTTGACCCCAAAGCCTTCTACAGAATACAAAGGCTAGTTGCTTCTCAATATGATGAGGAAATCAAGGAGACTGATCCTGTAGAAAGTCCACCTGAACCCATCAACTCATGGGATCAGGGAGTCAAAAGATGTTATTAGCACCAATAACTGACCATTGGAATTGGCAATGGCAAGGCCAGTCTTGACTTTGACAAGAGCTACTTTGGATGAGTAGTGGGCTAGAAGCCTGTTTGTCTAAGAGCAATAGGAAGAAGTAGATACAGTGAGTGTAGACAATGCTTTCAATGAATTTTGCTGTAAAGGGCAGCTGAGCATTGAGAGTGGGATTTAAAGAGAGAGGTGAAGTCAAGAAAGAATATTTTTTAAAGATAGAGACATAGTAGCATGTCTGTATATTGATAGGAATGACCTAGAACAGAGAAAAACATTAATTTAAGTTGGAAGGGGATAAAGTCACATGAGGGGACACAGGATTTGCCCCACAATGGAGGAGCTGGCCTTAGATGGTTCATCCACAGTAATATGAGATCAGGACAGTCAGTAAACCAGGTGAATGTGGAGTGATTGCTGGGCTACACTAAGGCCCACTTGAGGTTCATGGTCACAAGTTAAAAATAAGTTCAAGAAGCATGCTGGTATGCTTCTCCAACTATTCTTATCTGGATGCTGGCAGAGAGAAAGTGAAGAATTAGACTTTATCAGGGTTATGGTTCTTCCAAGGAAGAATATATAGAGAGAGGGACATGTATTTGAGTATGTATATAAATAGAAATTATAATAATGAACATGAAAGCTAAGGTAGATATAGGAGGAAGGAAGGTCACGAGGGGAGTAAGGAACAGAGAAAAGGTCATGGTAAAAGTAAATTATAGGAGCTGTTAGGGTCAAGGAGACATTGAATTAAAGTAATAAAGAGAATAGGATGGAAAGGTCAGAAGTGGTGGTTGAAGAGTAGAATGCTTGTCATTGAGATTTTTGGATGGTGCCACTATGAGGACAGAGAACTGAGACAGTTGGAGGTCAAGGAAGGGAGAGGATGTTGAAGAATTGAGGGACCAGGGTGTAAGAGGAATCTGTTAGGTAGACTTGGAAATAAGAATATTCATGGGAATTGTATTGGGGAAATTGACAGTGAGGGGGGATGCTAATATCGTCAAGGAATGAAGTAGAATAACGCAAAGGTTTGTAGCTGGCTGCAGTAAGTAGGGTAATGTGGATAATGTGGTCTCTTATTTTCATGGAGAGCCAGATTTTGATCAGAGTGAGAAATTGAAAGAAACATTCAGATAAGAAGCTGATGATATTGGGCATTTTGCTGGTGACAAACTTCTGGGGGGCAAAAGGGAGGATTCTAGGAGGTGGGAGGGGAAATAGTGATGTGCGCAAATTCACTAAAAACACATTCACTTCTTGGGTTTGGGAGCTCAGATCGTCAGGAGTGGCAGGGGAGGGGGGGGAGAGGTAAACTAGGCAGCTCAAGAATGGCTGGTTCCTCATGAGCAATGCTGGCTAAAGTGATTCCTTTCTGCCCTCCAAGGTAATTTGTGAACCAAAAGCTGACGGAGGAAAGCCAGAGATGGTTGAGTGTTTGCAGAATTAGAGCACATTGGCACAGGTCAGGGGACCTCAGGTTGCAGCAGCTGGTGATCTGATCACTTTGAGGTTATAGAAGGTCCTCAGCAGTTTGCCCAGGCTATTGACTCCCATTGTCCATCTCTAATGACAAGGACAAGGGAAACCATTTTCCATGTTTATTTCTACTTTCCTCTTAACTCTTGCAGGCTCTCTCCGGGAGAGCACATCCCAAAAGCCCAGGGACCTCCCAGGCAGAGGGTAGTCGGTTAGTTAGTCCTGGGGAAAATACATAATGCAACATCCCCAGTTATTCAGGCCTCTGGCCCAGAGAGGGAGATTCCCACAATCGGGCATGCATTACTTTAGGACCTGTAACTCTGACTCTCAAACTATAACTTCTATTTCTCTATTACATATTTGAAAGAGCTCAACTCTTTATACAGTAGAAGGAACACTGTTCTGCTCCCCTCAGACAGATAGACCCTATCCATGAGTTACTTAACTTCCGAGCCTCAATTTCCCTGCCTGTGAAATGGAGATATTGCTTTAACCAGGTGATTTCTTAAGGACAAGAAATATTGTCTGGACTCGGTTTAGAATCCAGGTACATGAAGAATGAGGGTGTTGGGGTCATTGGAAGCTCCTCCGCCGTTCCTTCAAGACATACTCAAGCTCTAAAAATCCTGCTTCTCCCCATGAAAAGCACAGAACAAATGATTTCCCAAGCGTCGAAGTAGGGCAGGCGCAGCATAAAAGAGCAGGACTCGTTTTAGAACCGATTATCTGCTAATTTTTAATAAATGGTCAAAGGGAGTGGGAAACGAAGAGACGACACCCGCCAACCCTGAGTGGGGAGGAAGCGCGCGCTCCGCTGCCGAGCGTGACGGCCGCGGTCGCCTAGCAACGGGCGGCGGGGATGCGCGTGGGGCACCCGGGCGGGTGGGCTCCGGGAGCTCGCCGCCGCCGCCGCCGCCTCCGCCTATGCGCCCTGGGGCCTCCCCGACGCCCTAGGAAACTTTGGGGCTTCTCGCCTCTGGGGCGTTGCCGCGAGGCCCGGCAGATGCTGCGCTGAGCACCGCGGGCTGAGGGCAGAGGATGAGGTCGCTGCCCGAGCGCTCGGGGAGCCACAGGGTCGCACCCGCGGAAAGTTGGTGCGCACCTGGCGCCTGGAGATGCTCGGTCCCCGGGAGTTTCTTTGGCAATTTCTTACCCCCGTGGATCCGGCATCCCGAACCCCGTGTGGCCCTCCCCGGGTGCTCGGATCCTGATCGCTGGGAGAGAGAAACTGCGCTTTTCTGAGGGACCTGCGCGGTAACCGATGTTTGATCGATTCGCCCTGAATGGTTGCGGTTCTATTTTTGTTCTGTTTTTCTTTTTCCTCCAGACAGTGAGTTTGTGGAAGCTTCTCCCGCGCCCTACAGCTCGGAGGAGTTAGGTAAGTCTGCCCCTTTGCTTTTCTTCTCGAATTGCTCTCGAAAATAGCGAGTTTGGGGGGCCCAGAGGAAATCAGTGGGGCGAGGGGAGGGAAAGGGCCAGGGGACACTTTCCAGGCTGCAAGTTCCCTTCGAGGTGAGAATTGGCTTCTTCTCCGCGCACGTGCCCTGGGCTAGTGTCGGGTGCGCTGGGGGAGAGCAGAGGGCTGCGGGACAGCAGAGGGCCGGGGGTGGGGGGCTCGGAGGGGGCAGGTGAGTGGTGCTGCTCTGAGGAGCACGGCGCAGCAAACTTGGGACCTGGGGCCTCTCTCTGCAAGCATTCAGGCTCACGCTGGCCGGGAGGACGCCGCGGCGGCCGAGTTTGTCTAGCTGCACACCTTGCACGAGAAGGACATCGTGTGGGTATTCCATAACCTGAATTCAATAAAGTCAAAGGCCAAAAATGGAGATCCAGTAATTAAATTCCAGGACCTGGGAGATGCGTCCCTTCCTGCTTTCTATTCCTCATTTAGCCTGTAGGTGTCTGGAAGTAGGTCATTTCATCCTCCTGTGGCTCTCCTTGTAAGTGGAGACTTGTGGCCGTTGACCTGCGACATTTGCCAAAGAGCTGTCAAGAATCCCTCTAAGTATTTCTGCCACCCAGGCTCACTTGGTGGCCTAATGGTTATGTTCTTTTCTTTCCTCTTTTTCTCCTTCTCTTCTTCTTCCTCCTCATCCTTTTTCTTTTCTTTCTTTCTTTCTTTCTTTCTTTCTTTCTTTCTTTCTTTCTTTCTTTCTTTCTTTCTTTCTTTCTTTTCTTTCTCACTCTGGTTTAGTTTAGCCTCTAATGATCTCGTTTGTCAAGTCTGTCCTTGCTGTTCTCTTATCACTAGCTTAAAAATCTTGCCTTCCTACCAGGAATGACAGCTGTTTAAAAATGTTTATCCACAGTACCCTTCTCAGCCTTGGGTACTTCGTTTCTGGTCAGTCTCTTATCCTGGGACGTAAGTCCTTATGAAGTCTCACACCACATGAGTAAAATTCCATCTCAGCAAAGACTTCCATTGATTTCTAGGACAGAGACATCCTAGGACCCAGGTCTGGATCAAGGATGGCATTCCGAGACAGAGAAGAGTACCTGGTTTTATTCAGATGTGTGTCTGACAAGTTGTGAGGCAATCACATCTCTCTAAGCGGAAACATAAATTAAGTGCATGGGCCAAAGTAGCTTTTAAAGACACACTATGGCGAATCCTTTTATGAAATGAAAATGACATCTAAATTATAGCTTTGCATGAAGTGACTTAGGAAAGCAAACTTTTAGTGATCTGCTCATGTGTATAATTAATTGTGTATTGATGACTGAAGCTATTTGGTCCTTTGAAATTATAGATAAGCATATGCAGTGGCAGGATGCACATTCCTTGTTCTGCCTGTCTAACTACTAAATCGTTTGCATTCACAGAATGATTAATGTGCTATACCAGAGGGCTCAGGTGTTTGACCCTCTTCCATCCCCATGTCTCTCTCTGGGGCTGACAGGATTGCCCAGCTGAGTCACTGATAAATTGGGGAGCCCTTCAAATGAGTGGAGAGAATAAGAAAACCACCTTTTTTCTCTACAGCTTCCCTGTGGGAAAAGTCCAGCATTTCATAAGGAAATGAGTCTTATAGGAACCGTGGGGAATATAAAACACAAATCTGAGAGTCTGAGACCAGGGTTCCAGCCCTCACTCTGCTCCATGTTCCTTAGTAGATATGTTAACTAGGCTGTTTTCTCATTGCCCAAAAGCTAGCTAGGGTTTTGGCAGGTGACCTCCTGGGTTTGTCCACTTCTAGCCTCCTCACATGCTGCGAGGGGCCCAAAGCCAGGGGATACCCATAGCTACCGAGTATTTATTATTTACATTCAAGTGCCATGCAGTTTGGGTGCATGATGTTTCCAAAGGGTTATTCTCTCTCTGACAGAGTAGATCACTGGATGATACTGCATTGTTTCCATGCTATTCAGGTCAAAGAGGGAGCTGGCATCTCTCCCTTGGAAAGAATCATGATAGGTGTTGGTAGGCACAGCAGGAAAAATGCCACTTATAGCAGTTGGTGAGCTTTTCAAGTAGTTATCCTTTCTGGAGCACAGAGGAACACAGATTCACCCCCCTGGCTAGAATATAAGGGTAGAGGTGGAGGTAAGTCATAACAACTTAGTTCGAATTGTATCACTGCACTTACTTGTGAACTTGGGAAGGTGACCAAAGTTCTCTCAGCCTCAATTGTCTCATCAACCCACTTGGAGACCTCGTATGGATGAAATGATGGTGTATGTAAAGTACCATGTGTGTTGTATGTGCAAGTATTCAGGAAGTATTTGTTGCTGTTGTTTTATTATTTTTTATTATTATTGCTATTAATTTGAAAAATATTTATTTCCTATGCATGAAGGATAGAATAGTTCTTATCAGTTGTCCCACTAAGTAACCCAAATTTCTTTATTCCTACAAATTTCTTTGCAACATACCTAGTCTCCAAAAACAGATGCTTGAGCAGGGTGATCAGGCCAACTGAATTATTCAGTGATTTGTCCCTGGAACAGCATGTGGGATGGTGTTCCATCTGAGTTCTTTAGTGACAGTTCTACTATTTTCTTGTGGCATAATCAGCAGTCTGTTTCACCTCCAAATTTTACTTATGTCTCCAAATGAACTACAACTCCCTCCTTGGGGAATTAATTCTGTGTTGTAGCAAGATTACATAATGAAATTAAGTTACCAAAGAAGTGTTTTTTTAAGGAAGGAGAAAAAGTGTATCTCTAGATGAATGCTATATTAAAGGCTGCCTGCAATGGAGAGTCCAGAAATATACTCCCTATCCTGTGGCAGTCCCATTTTCCAGGGAGGCAAAGCCTGCACCTCTACAAAGCCTTTCTGTAGTACCATCCATAGAGAGAAGTGATCACTGTCTCAGGAGGCAAGAGAGAATGCATAGAGAATTGGGATGAACTCAGATGTGACCTTATCTGCCATTGTCTAATAACCCTGATCGACTCCCCCAAACCTAGAGGACTGGTCCAGCATAGGAGGACCATCTGCATTTCCCCCACTCACTGTAACTTTCTGGTTATATTGAACTATGGGGCAGGCCTCTAAATTCAGATCTCTTCCCTTTGTCTGCGAGCCTTCCCTCCCCCTCCTCCCTTCCTCCCATGGCTGGCTCCCAGTCCTCCCTTGATACTAAGTCCAGGTGTCATGTCCTGCTAGGGATTCTCAAGCCTACACATTAGAATTGGGGGAGCTATTAAAAGTCCTGAGGCCAGGTCCTAACTCTGACCAACTATATTAGAATCCTTGGAATGTAGACCCAACCATCGGCGTTTTATCAGCATGTGTGTGTGTGTGTGTGTGTTTTAACTCACCTCTCAAATGATTCCAATGTAGAGCCAGACTTGTGAGCAACTACCCTCAATTATGGCCTCCTCATTCTTCGTGGTCAATATAGCAACCAACCAACACAGTACTTGGCACACGTAAATGTTCAATAAATGTTTGTTGAACTATAAGTGAGTGACATAGTCATTCACAGATACTGTGTCTTTTCATAGTTATATATTTCTAAGATTGGCCTCTTTGCTTGTCATGAAGATGCCTTGGGGAATGAATCTTTTCACCTGTGACCTATCTCTCTCTTTCTCCTTTGTTTGTTTCTTTGGCTTATCCAGGTTATCTTTTAGCATTCTTAAAAATTGAAATGTTAAAACCATTTTTAGGGGTTAAGAGCATGTGGGTTTGATTTTTGCTCCCCCTCTTACTTGCTTTACAACCATGGGCATATCCCTTAATCCCTGCCTCTGCTTCCTAATTTGTGAAATCGTGGGCCAACTATTTTCTGATACTCTTCTAGACCCATTCACCACCCTTCAGCACTCTCCTTTGTGCCCTGGAAAACTTACCTTTTGGAATGGGTCATCTGGATTCCAGATGGATGTGGCCAGTGAGAGGCACTGGCAGGATAGGGGAGAGTGGAAAGAACACGTCTCCCTGCCCTTTAGGCTGTAGGGTAAGAAGGTTATTTTATTCTAGCCACAGCTCTCTAGAGCAACCCTCTCTCACAGCATCAGTGCTTATGGGTCCAGAACCTCTGACTTAGGAGTGGTCACAGCTCCCCACTGAGCCTGGCCCCAGGCCCTTCTCCATCACTTGTCTTCCCTTAACCCAGCCCATCACACTTTTGCCAGCAGTCCCTCTGTCAGACTTTTGGGCGTGCCATCATCCTCTGAGAAGTTCCTAACTGATACGATGAGGATGATAACAGTACCAGCTTCAGGGCATGATTGTGAGGAGTAAATGCACTTTAGGAGGAATGCTCAAATGAAATAACCGTCATTAAACATTTACTATGTTTTCATGTCCCTAGGCAAGTGCTCTGACACCTTTGGCCATGGTCAAAACCTTCTGGAAGATTTAATTTTTGACATATAATTAAAAAAATGTTTTCATGCATTTCCTCTTCCCCACCCCATGTTGAGAGGATGTGTCAAGACACAACACTTATGAAAAATCTGTTTAAAGTCAATATATTAGGCATCCAAAGTTTCTTAACTCCCATACATGGGGATGAATAAGGAGAAAGGTCCTAGACTTAATATTCACCTACTTGGTGCCGGGCACTTAACATGTGCAAACAGTCTACTCAGCTTCCTAGCCTGGAGTTTAAATCATGTCACCCACATTAGTACCCCCAAATAGAATGATTTCTGAGTATGTGTCTGCCCATATTACTAAGAAATCAGGTCTTTCTCTAAGGTTATCCCCCAAGTTTATATCCAAGAATTCTCAGAGGTTGCTCCTTTACACCCAGAGAGTAAGTTCTGGCTACTCCAGCCTTCGCCAGGGGAGCTGGAATTCAGACACAGCTCACTGAGGCTAGTGGGCACTGTGATATCTGCTCCAAGTCCTCTCTTCTTCAGAAACCAGTGACCACATATCTCTGGCCATCACTGCTGCTGCCCCTGCTCACACCAGAACTTGAA